CTGGGGCCGGGGGCCGGGGCCCATGGCCTGAACCCCAAAGAGGCAGCGTCCCCTCCTCCCATCAAATCGTGGCAGCTCCGAGGCCTCCTCCAAACGCTGCGTCCCGGTCTAGGAATCACCTGACCTGCTTAGTGACCTAAAGAAAGACAGTCTTGAGCCTCTTTACTCTCAAAAATAGAGGCTGGAAATCTTTGTCGGTCTAGTGGTTTGGAGTCAGCGCTCTCACTTCCTAGTGTCTGGGTTGAATCCCTGGTCAGGGAACTAAGCTCCGAGAAGCCGAGTGGTACGGCGAAGAAAAAGAAAAAAAAAATAGATTGAAAATATCCTGTCGCTGCCCTGGCTAGGAAGAAAGCACTGGGTGAACCGTGGGCGTCCACTTGTACTCAAGTTCAAAATTCTTCCTCATGTAACCCCAGGGCCACTCTGTCTTGTGCCTGAGAAGCGGGCATCCAAGGCCCAGAGCTAGGGGTTCGTTACCAGTGGCGCAGGAACAGTTGGGGTCCATTTGGAGGCGACGTGAGGCCGGGGATCGAAAGCAAGCGGGCAAGAGGCACCTGAGCTGGTGGAAGGCGTGTCGTGCCTAGGAGCCTGCTTGCAGTGTTTGTTCCCAGAGGAGGCGGCCCGGGCGCAGAGGTCCCACCCACTCCTTGCACCCTCCCCGCGTCTGCGCCGCCCGCCCGCAGCGCCCGGGGCCGGGCTGTGAGCAACACTCGGGGCCGAGCGCCCGATTCTCCCAGTGCGCATGGGTCCGCTCTGCGCACGGGAGAGCCGAGTTTGGTGCCTGCTCGCGTGTAGGGACTGTTTGCCAGGAAGTACGCGGTGTCCTAGCCTCCCTGTCCGCCCCTCCCGATTTTCCCGAGGGCGGCAGCCACCTTGTTCCCGGATTTTCCAGCAACCCAGCCTCTGCGTCTCGCTGTCTTCCCCACCCCCGGCCCCCGCGCTGTTGTCTTCAGGTTCACCCTTTCCGGAGCCCGTGTGCAACCCTAGTCTCGCGCTCACGTCCCAGGCGTGGCAGGATCCTGGGAGTTGTGTGCAGAGACTGGTGGTGGATGTGACCTTCACCACCAATCCTCCGACTCCCTCTTCCCCCACCATTTCCTGTCCTGGTCCCCACGATGGTCCTTAGGCAGCGTTTCTCTAACGTTTCTCCGAAAGAGCACCACGGCCAACTCAGGCCTCTGCCTCCCATCCTTCCTTCTGTTCTCCACTACTGAATGGATGGATGGGCACATTTGTCCCTATGCTCCTGGCCTGAACTTGCCAGGGGTTTTCCTGATCCTAGCCAGTCTACCCTGCTCCGGGATGGAGGTTCCCAAAGCATGAGATCCCACCCCATGGAAGGGATCATTGTAAGTGATGGGCAGACCTGGCATTAAATAACAAAGCATGAAAAGTGGTTATTTCCCTTTCAGTGTTCAGCAGTGGGGAGAGCACTGAGCAGGCAGTCAGATCCCTCTGCACAGCTCTGTGACCTCTCTGGACTTCAGTCTCCCTCTCTGCCGCCAGAAGCACAGCTAGACTGTCTCAGAGGACCCTTCCAGCTGTGAATAATGATAGGCAGGACTCAGCATTCAGTGACCTCATAATCAGCGACCTTTGGCAAGGAGGTGAGACAGCCTTGCTATAGGTTCAGACCTCTGGATATGATCTGTGTGCCCTTAGGCAGGTTGCTTAAACTGGGTAGCTGGCACAATCATTCCAGCCCCTGCAGGTTCACTCTGTTACTGGTTCATTGTAGATCAAGTGATATGAAGGGTGGGCATTGATTTTGTGTTTCTCCAAATGGTGTGGCAGCATCTTATCCTAGGGGGGCTATTGCAGGGCATCCACACTCCCCCTGCCAGTGGATCAGTAAATTTACAATCAAACTTTAACCTCCAGCCTGGAGTAATGCTTGCAAAACCATGAGCCTTTCCCCAAGAGCTTGTTGGAATTAAACAAGATTCTGTCCCAGTAAAGTCACTGTGAACAGAAGCATCATAATAGACACTGTTTATTAAGCCCTAGTGAGGAGCTAGGCCACTCTCAATACCACATAGGGATATAATCTCCTTTTTATAGGAAATGGAGACTTAGAGAGGTTGAGCGACTCATTTAGGATATGCGGCTGGTAAGTGCTTGGTCTGTGAACCAAGACTGCCTGACACCAGCACCCATGCACCCAGCACAGGCTGGCTCCTGAAATCCCCTCTGCACACAGGACACCTGTGGGTGAGTGTGGGCCTGACACTTGGGCCACGTGACTCCTCGTTCTCTTTGACTTTACATCAAACAGCAAATCCATCCAAAAGTTGTCAGGAGGACTAGCTATTGCCATTATTTACAAGTCGCTGAGCGCCTCACTCCTTCCTAATAAATACCACCACAACTTTGTAAATGCAGAATTTGACGCTACCCTGCACAGGCAGACGTGAAGTCCTTCATCTGGAACCAGTTTCCAGGTACCTGCCTCTTGTTGGGAAATGGCTGGGTATTACCTGCAAATTCCTAGTCAGTTTGCTGGTTTCAAGTAACCAAGGGCTGGATTTTGAAGGTAGAGTTCAGCCTGACCTTAAGGAACTTCCAAAGATTCAGAGCCAACTCACCGCAGGGAGCTCTCAGGGGTAGCAGGTGTCCTGTCACTGGCACTGGGCCAGCCAAGACACATGTTCCCTGTGGGGATGGGGGGGAAGAGCTACTCCAGGTGTGGGTGGTCCACACAGTGGGGTGTTTGAAAGTGTTTTCAGCGTTCAACATACTCCTTTGATGAACACGTGGGTTTTTTTAATAATTGAAGTATAGCTGATTTACAGTATTGTGTTAGTTTCAAGTGAACAAACATGTTTTTACTTTTTAAATTTTTCCTGTATTACTCTGTTCTTCATATATTTATTCAAATTTATTGAATCAAAAATTGGGTTTTGTATCCTTTTAAATTTTTCTTAGTAGTTCACTTAATTTTATTTTACCACAGTTTAGGTTTGTGAAGTTGGAAAATAAAAACCACAGCTAGAAAATTCACACGTCTTTCAGTGCAGGGAGTTTGAGACTTCCAGGTAACTGGAGGTATGATTCCAACTTCTTTAGAGTCTTTCAAGCCTAAAATCTATGAGGAAGTGAAGTTAGCCAGGGAAATCAGAGGATGGGAAATGAGGTATTGAGAAGCCACCAACCCTTGCCATGTCACCAACCCTTGACATGATAATGGAGGAGACCTTGTATCTGCTCGACACCCTTAGAGCATCTGATCTAATGCTGTTCCGTGTTACGCAGATGAACCCAGTGAGGGAGTGTGTCTTGTCTTAGGCACTCAGTTTGCTAGGGACTCACATTTTGTTCCAGTACCCAAGTCTCTGCACTTCTCACCCAGTCTCCTACACCAGCCCTGGATGGCACAAAAGCCCTTATTCCCAATGCACAGAAAAGAAAGGCGAGTCGGAATAGTGTCAACAACTTTTATTACCACTTACATATTTCATAGGAAAGGGAATGTAGCAATCAAGTCAGAGCGGTATAAAAACGCAGGTCGGCCCGTGTTCCTCCATTGACACCTGGGGAAGGTTCTCCGTGACATCAGGCACAGCAGCTGCACTTGTCCGAGGCCCCTTTGCAGACGCAGCCCTGGGCACACTTGGCGCAGCCCACGGGGCAGCAGGAGCAGCAGCCTGGGGAGAGAGGGGTGAAAGCAGATGTCAGCGATGACTTTCCCAGGCTCCTCCTTGCCCAACAGCAGCCCTGCCACAAGCCCTCAGATCCAAAGGACCCCGAGTACAGAAAAACATGCTCTGTTCCAAGACAGTTGGGAGGACCTTGGGGTTTGGCTTCCACTACAAAGTGGCTGCCCTGCCCCATCTTAGCCCAGGACAGGCAGAAAGTCAGAAGCAGCAGTGACAGGTGCCGAAGGGCAAAGGAAGACCAGCCCCCCCGCCAAAGCCATACACTCAGAGCCCGCTCTGGGTTCCCTCCCTCACCGTAGCTGCAGCCCCCAGGTTCCCAGAGAAAGCCCTACACTCACTCTTCTTGCAGGAGGTGCATCTACAGGCTTTGCAGGTGCAGGAGCCAGCGCAGCTGCAGGAGCCGCCTGCCAGGAAGGGAAAGGCCAGCAGTGAGCAGGGAGGGGGATGCAGGAGGTACAGCAGATGGTCAGTAATCCCTCCCTGCAACCTCTTCCTGGGTGCAGGGCCCAGTGCTAGGGACTCCTGTCCAGCATAGAACAGACAGAAGTCTCACCCCTCCTTCTCTGCCCTTCTATGCAAAGGGCTGTGTACTGCCTTGTATTTACCCCACAGGTATGGTCCCAGGCTCCAGAGCCCATTCAGGATGCCTGGGTCTGGTGGCCAGGACCTTTTGTCTGAGCCCATAACAGGCAATGTCCCCTCGCACCCGGCACAGGGAATGCAGAGGCCTGGACAGAGCACTGCGGCCGACCCAGAAGCCCCCTGACACCTGGATGATGTGGCGCAGAACAGCCTTGAGCCTCAGGCCTCTCGCCTCTGAAATGGAAGCCCCAGTTGGATGGAAACACTCTAATGGGGGATGAAGGCTCTTGTCCAGGGAGAAAGCACGAGCCGGGTTAACTACAGAAGCCTACTTCAGCTCAAGCTCAAAATGTTCCTCCCTCCTCCAAACCCAGGGATGCTTCTTGGTATTGGGGAAGGGGCATCCTAAGTTCCAGAGCCAGGGGTTCCTCACCAGTGGGACAGGAGCAGTTGGGGTCCATTTGGAGGCGAGGTGAGGCCGGGGGTCCAAAGCAAGTAGCGAAGAAGAGGGTCTTGGGCCGGTTGGGGGCGTGTTGGAACCTAGCAGCCGGCGGGTCAGTTTATACCCAGAGGAGGCGGCCCGGGCGCAGAGGCCCCGCCCCCGCCTTGCACGCGGCGCGCGGATCTGCGCCTGTGCAGCCGGCAGCCCCCGTTCCGGCTGTGCGCAGCCGGGCGGGCCGAGCGCAGGGTTCCGTGAGCAAGGATTGGGTCGGTGTGCAGCGCTGCGGCCGCCCCTTTGGCGCTAGAACTCGCGGAGGGACGGTGTGCCGGGCGGCTCTCGGTTTCCCAGCTTCCCTGCCCGCCCCTTCCCAAATTTCCCAAGGTAGGCAGTCACCTTTGTTCCGGGATCTTCCAGGAACCCAGCCCCCCCCTCTCTTTGCCACCCCAGGCCCCATTGCCTTGGTGCTCAAGTTCGTCCTTTCCGGAACCCGTGTGCGCCGCGCCCGGCCCTCCTCCCCCCCCCCCTCCCCCTCCCGGCCCCCCGGCATGAGCTCACAGGCGGTGGAAAGAGCCGAGGGAGTTGTGTGCAGCGTCCCAGCTGCGGATGTGACGTTTGCCTCCCAGTACTTTTCCTTTCCCTGTGCCCAGAGGGACTTAGGCCCTATTTTTCTGTCTCAGTTTCAAGGCGGACGCTGGCCTCTGTCTGCTCCATCTTTCCTCCACTCTCTAAGTTTGAAAGGATGTATGGGCACATATGTCTGGATCCTTTGCACAAAACTCTCCAGAGACTCTCCACAGCCTAGCCAGCCCACCTCACTCCAGGGAAGTTGTTCAGAAAGTGGGATGCCCCCAGGGGAGGGGTCATTTCAGGTGATAGGCAGATCTGGCATCTGCATATCAAGAAAAATAATTGTTTCCCTTTCAATATTACTGACCATTAGACAGCATTCTGTGTGTGTCCCACCTGGTTAATTGTTTATCTTTCAACCCTCACAAAGACTCAAAAAGAGGAATACTGTTATTTATGAGCCCATTTGGCTGGTGGGAAAGGTAAGTCACAAGGATGTTAAATAACTTGCCCAGGGTCACAGAGCTGGGAAGTAGTGCCACCGGGTCTGAATCCAGTCAGCTTCCCAAGGGAAGAAGGTCAAAGATAAAGTTTTCCTTTGGCCCAAAGTTTTCCTTTGATGTATCTTCAACATCAGTGTACTGCTTGAAATCTTTTAAACAGAGAGAAGCCTCAAGCTTATCAACTCTCCAGGCCCATATCATGATTTTGTTTTCAAGGACCTAGATTGCCTTTTCCTTCTGCAAGACATCATACTGGTCCAGTACACTGATGATATTATGCTGCTCGGAGCTAGTTGCAAGAAGTAGCAACTACTCTAGGCTTATTGGTTAAAACTGTAATGGCTGTAAAAAAAAGCCTGTGGAATAGAGAAGATCCCTTAGGGCATCTCTTAGTACTACCCTGCTCTGTGATTAAAGTCAGTGAAAAACTACTATAACAACCCAATCAAGGCAGGACTGATAAAGGCTCAGACCCTTCAAAAATGAAGGTTTGGGTCACCCCAGCATCGTAAAGAACCATGACCAACTGAGATGCTTGCAGGGAGCAAAGGGGATACAGAATAGGTAGTGTAAGAAGATGTTTATAAATGTCAGCTATCACCACATGACCAGTTCCAGAAACAGAAATGACAACTGTAATTGTTAGGAGTACTGCTTCATTATTTTGTTATAAATATGTTTATATATATATGGCAAATATCTTTGTTTTCTTCCCTCTTTTATCCCCTTCTCATATAACATAGAAGGTATTGACTTTACATTGTAGTGATTACGTGTTGTTAACATCACAGTATTTGTTACGTGATATCAAGTACAAAAGTGACCATCACCCAAGGACTTTGCATCCTCCTCTGGGGATGGTGTTATACATTTTAAGTTGTAGGTAGGATAGTTGTGTCACGTTAGGCAGAAGTATGACCTTGTTATTGTCTTTGTTGGGAGATTAAGTGCGGTTTACGAAGTTGTGTGGGTGCTAGTTTGATAAGTGGTGGTCTATAACGGTTAGTTTTATGTACCCACGTGTTTTAGCTGTCATACCCAATCCTTGGTCACACGCTAGCCTGATGTTGCCGTGAAGGTATTTTTCAGATGTGATTAACATTTAAATCAGTAGACTTTGAGAAAAGCAGATTACCCTTCATAATGTGGAAGGCCTCATCCAGTCAGTGAAGGCCTTAGAGAAAAACTGAGGTCTCTTGAAGAGGAGGGAATTGGGCCTCCAGACGGCCTTTAGACTCAAGATTGCAACCAACATCAACTCCTACTGGAATTTCCAGGCTGCTGGCTAGCCCTATAAACTTCAGTTGTGCCAGCTTCCACAGTTGCATGAGCCAATTTCTTAAAATAAATCTCTCACTCTCTTTATCAATCTATCTATCTACCTACCTACATCCTGCTGGTTCTGTTTCTCTGGAGAATGCTAATACAAATATATTTTAAAACATGTAAGTCATTAAAGGAAAAATGTTAAGTAAAATACTGGTGTAAGTGGTAGCAAAGGGCACAGACTGTTGTGCTCAGGGTTATAAATCCCCAGTGCTGTTCAGTTGATGAGGACAACATAGGACACACAGCTAGGCACACCACCACTGTTTCTGTGTCTAGAGGTAAATAAATACCCCCTATGTTAATAATAATAATAAATGGCGAACATTGTAGACCACTCACCACGTGCCAAGCACCATACTAAATTCTTTTCATGTACTAGTTCTTTAATCTCCTGAATCATATGCTTTTATTTTGCCCCTTTAAAAGTGGGGGAGACCGGGCTTCCCTGGTGGCGCAGTGGTTGGGAGTCTGCCTGCCGATGCAGGGGACACGGGTTCGTGCCCCGGTCCGGGAGGATCCCACATGCTGCGGAACGGCTGGGCCCGTGAGCCATGGCCGCTGAGCCTGCGCATCCGGAGCCTGTGCTCCGCGGCGAGAGAGGCCGCAGCAGCGAGAGGCCCGCGTACTGCAAAAAAAAAAACAAACAAAAACAAAACAAAACAAAAAGTGGAGGAGACTGAGCCATAGAGAGATTATGTCCTGTGGCTGTAAGTGATGCAGGTGAGATGGGCACTCATGCAGGCGGACTGCAGCATCATGCCCTCACCCACGATCTTACACCAGGACTTCATATGACAGATGAGGATGTTGAAAGCTGGCACAGGGGCAGCAATGGGAAGAGCACTGAGCAGGCAGTCTGTATAGTTCTGTGACCTCTCTGGAATTCAGTTTTCCATGTGTCAAGCCAGGAGCACAATCTGTCCATTTCGAGAGGTCCTTCTAACTCTGAATAGTGAGAGGCAGGATTTAGCATTCAGTGACATCATTATCTGCCAGCTGTGGCCAGGGCGTGAGGTCAGCTGTAGTGTGGGTTCAGACCTCTGCCCTCTGAGCTGTGTGACCTTGGGCAGGTTGCTTAACCTCTCTGGAATCAGCACAATCACTCCAGCCCCTGCACATTCACTCTCTCACTGGTTCCTGTGCAGATCAAACGACATGAAGCATGGGAATGACTTCTGAGTCTGTCCAAATGCTGTGGCAGCATCTTGTCCTGGGGGCCTCTTTGGAGGTCATCCATACTCCCTTTGGCACCGGATCAGCAAATTTCCAATCCCATCCTTAACCTCCAACCCAGAATAATGCTTCTAAACCAGTGAGCTTTTCCCCAAGAGCTTGTTGGGAGCTAAAAGGATTCTGTCTTCATGAATGTCAGTGTGGACATAATGATCATAACGGCCACTGTTTATTAAGCCAGGACACTATCATTTAATCCCCACATAGAGATATCATCTCTTTTTCACAATTGGGAAAATAGAGACTCAGATGTTGAGTAACATGCCCAGGCCATACCACCTGTGGCAAAACAGGCTGTGAACTGAGACGCCCATGCACTCAGCACAGGCTGGTTTCTGAAACCCCCTCTTCACACAGGGCACCTGTGGGCAAGCATGGTCTTGACTCTTGGGCCACCTGACTTGTCTTTCTCTTTTATTTTACATCAAATAGCCATTCCCTCCACAAACAGCCAGGGGGACTAACTGCTGGCATTAGTTACAAGTCACAGGGCACCTCACTCCTGCCTAATAAACACCACCATACCCTCCAGACTGCAGAATCTGCCATCACCCAGCATGGGCAGACGTGAAATAGTCCATCTGGAACCAATTCTCAGGCACGTGCCCTCTTCATGGGAAATGACTGTGTAATTCCCTCCACAGCCCTAGTTATTTTGCGGCTTTCAAGTAGCCAAGGGCTGGATTTTGGAAGGACAGATTGCAACGGTGCTCAATGGACACCTTCGATGAACACGTGTGCGACGTTTTTAAATCTCTGATTTTGTTTGTTTTTCATATATTGACTGAAATTACGTGTGTGGAATCTGAAAACATGGGCTTTGTATTGTTCTGTGGCATTTTTATATTTTTTTTTGTTTCTGTTTTTTACCAAGGTTTAGGTCTGCAATGGATGGGAAATGAAATCTGTTCCTTCACCACAGGGATTTTTTTAGACGCCCCATTTAGATTCAAGCAGGTGAGGGAGTTTTCCACCCCTTTAGTCACTGAAGACTAAAATCCAGCGAGGAACTGCAGTTGAACAGGGAAACCATGGAGAATGAGGATTGTGGATTGAGAAGTTTCTGTGCCACCAACCCTTGACTTGAAAACAGAGCGGACCCTGTATGTGCCCAGTGTCCTTATAGCATCTGGCCTAAGGCTCTTCCATTTTACAAAAGATGAAGCCCAGTGGGGTAATGTGGCTTGAACAAGGCACTGGGTTTGTTAAGGGCTAACATTTTGGTCCAGAAACCAAGTCTGTGTACTGCTAGTCCAGTCCCTCACCCCAGCTCTGGTCAAGTTAAGGAAAACAGCCAGAATAAAGCCAACCACTTTTATTATCATTCTTGTATTTTATAGGACAAAAAAAAAAAGAGGAATGTAGGTTTGTCCTGGTTGCTCTATTTACACCCGGGGCAGGCTCTCCGCGACATCAGGCACAGCAGCTGCACTTGTCTGAGGTCCCTTTGCAGATGCAGCCCTGGGCACACTTGGCGCAGCCCGGAGGGCAGCAGGAGCAGCAGCCTGGGGAAGGGAAGGAGGCGGCAGAGATGAGCGCTTGGAACAGAGGATTAATGAGGCTTCCCGTCCTCTCCAGTGGAGGCGCCACCGTCCCTAGGGAAGGGGTACCTACTGCCCTATTTAAATTCCCTCCGTGGTGTAGAGGGCTGGAGGCGTGAGGGGCGGGCCTGGCGGAGGGGTGGGCGCGTTAGGGGTAGATGTAGAGAAAATTCCACTTACTCTTCTTGCAGGAGGTGCATTTGCAGTCTTTGCATTTGCAGGAGCCGGGACACGCGCAGGATCCGCCTGCAAAGAGAACGGCCGACATAAAAACGGTTCCCGGAGACTCGAACGCGGGCATGGGTGCTAGGAGCCCGAGTTGGAGTCCCAGTTCCACAACCAACTCGTGGGAACCTGGGCAAGCCACGAACTCTGATCTCCTTATCGGTCAAACGGGATCTCCTAGTTTAACTTAGAATAGAGGCGGGTACACCAAAACGCTTTCGAAAGGGGCAATTTGTGCCCGGAAAGTGAGTGACGAGTTAGAAATTGCTTCTCTAGTTCTACAATTGACACCCAATCCCGAACCAAATCTCCTTACCCGCGGTGCAGGAGCAGTTGGGATCCATGGCGAGACGAAGCGGAGGCTGGGGTCCGGAGACTGCGTCACGAAATATGGCAGGGAAGTCGAGGGGGCGTGCTGGAGCGGAGGGCGCTGTGGGCTGCCTTTATAGCGGGAAGGAGCCGGGGCGAGTGCAAAAGCCCTCCGGGGCGGGCGCCGCCTGCACACGCCCCGCGCTGAGTCACTGGCGGCCCGCGCGGCGCCCCGAGCTGTGCACACGGACCACCCGGCACCAGTTCTCAGTAGCCGCCCTAGGTGCGCCTCGGCGAGGGAGGGCCGGGTGCAGAGCGCGGACCCCGCATGCAGGGCTGTGCTGGGCTGTGCGCGGAGCACCCTGACCCCTGCCCTTCGCTGTGTGCGCAGTTCCCGCCACCGCCTTCCCCCTACCCCAGCACGCCCCACCCCAACCCTCCCCACCGCGTCCGGTACCCTGTGCTTGAACCTAAGAGAGTGGGTCTTGCGGATCCTGCTCCGGGGGAAAACCGGTGGGAAGTCAGGACAGATTAAAAAAAAAACTCTTTGCACCCGTCAGGGCTTAAAAATTGTGTAGCATCATATTAAACCCGTGGGCTGGTTATTGATAACATATGCTGTATATCGAGTGCTTTAGCATGAGATAGGGAAAGTGTAAGCGTGTTATGTGCGAGCTCTCATTTAATCCTCTAACAACCCTGTGATGTAAGGACTAGTCATCATTCCCATTTTAGAGTATGGAGGCCCAGAGAAGTTAAGTAACTTGCCCGAGGTCACAGAGCTAGTGAGTGGCAGAGCCTGGTTAGAATCAGTGGGCCCAGCAGATGCTGAAGTCACTCTAAGGGTAGACATCACCAACAGGGGAGAATAAAGATCAAGAAGCCATAAGCCTTGTACCCAGGAAACTCATAGTCATTGGGGCAGCCTCATGGGTGCGTGGGGAAAAGTAATACCAGGGTCATGGCTAGGATGGAGGCAGGGGGAACAGAGGGGAGACCCAGTCCAGCCTGAGAGGAGGTGGGCCTGTCAGGTGGGCCCTTGCCTTGGGCCTGAGAGTGAGAAAGTCTTTGCCAGGCAGGGGAAGAGGAAGGAGTTGTATTCCAGCCCGTGGAAGAAGCAGCCGGGTGGAAAGTTGGCATTCCCATGGAACATTTGGAAGGGAAAACCTCACAAGAACTTTCTTCCCCAGTAGATGCAGAGGGGAAGAGTAGAAGTGCGGTCCAAATTCCTTTCTGGGGAGGTACATCCTGCTTCCCTGCTGGCACATGTCTGGCTGCTGTGAAATGGATCTTAGATCATTATCCTGGGATTGTCCAGAGTGTGTCATCAGATGAGCAGGTTACTGGAAGGTTGGTGGCAGGTTTAGGGAATGCTGGTTGCTGCAGTAGGGAGTTTAGTGAGGGGGTGGGCGGAGGACAGGCCGTCCTCACAGCATTTACTGTAAAATCCTGTGGAAATGCCTTCACAGCTCAGCTCAGACGTCACTTTCTCCTGGGAGCCCGTCCTGACCCCTGTGCTAGGTCAGGATGCCTGTGGAATGCGCTGGTAAACAACTTGTCCTTTCCTTCCTGGCACTGCCCATGTCTGTAATACATAGGAAAGTGTGTGATTCTGCGACCTTTGTCCCTCCACAGCTACCTGCCACTGAAAACACCAAGAGCGCTCACTGCCCCTGAAATGTGCTTCCAGCCCTCGGCCCAGGGCCAGGTTTACAGTTGGCGCTTAATAAATATTTGTCAAATCAATTAATAGGGGTAAATCCCCTGATGTGTCCTCCCTTCCCAGCCCTGCCTCCCGGCATTAGGGCCGATTACAAAATGAAAGTAAAAAACTTGTTTTTCACCACTCTGGGATCTGTGTGGTCATGTGGTCACTCAGAAACTCCATGCAGGGCAGGAGAGTTGAATTGTCAGAAGGACTAAATTCTAATGGTCACTCTGCCACTCACTTGCTGAGCGACCTTGGGGCTATTATGGGCCAGGGCTCCCCTGAGCATCAGTTTACTCATTTGTCAAATGATCAGATTGTACTAGAATTTGAGGGTCACATGCAAACACGCTCTGATGTTAGAGCCAAGGTCTCAGAAATCTCGCTGTGTCTGGCAGCCCCGTGGACTGAGAGCATGGGAGGGCTGCTCTTTGGATGGTGGGCAGATTTTGCTGCTGTTGTTACATACGCACCCACATTGTATGCAAAATTCCTGGTTTCTTATAAACCAGATGGTCCCTTGTCCACTCAGGGGAAACAGTCCAACTCACTGAGGAGACAATAACGCTTATTTTTGCCCTGTAAACTATTGAATCAAGCCCTGGGTTTGGGCCATCTGTGTTGGCAGTAAAATTTGTTTTCAGGTCTAGCTGTCTCCCTTAAGTCATTTTGACTCTGAGAGGAGAGGGAGGACCAATCGGCAAAGGTGAAGGGCAGCCCAGGCCCAGTTTTGCTTATCTCTGTACCCATGTAAGCCTTGCGGGACAGAGGTGGAGAGTGAGGCCTTTCTAATGCCTGCAGTCCTCATGTGGTAGGAAGTGAGGAAAATGAAGCCAAGCAGCATAAGATGAGGAAAAACACCCCTCTACAAGTGTGGTGTGAGCTATCAGTATGAGGCAATGATGTGGCCCTAGTCTGCATTAATAGAAGTGTGCCATCCAGAATGAGGGAGGTGACTTTTTGTCTCTTTTTAACTGCTAATGGGGGTATTTTTAGTTCTGCTGCTGAGTCATCCATTCATCCTTACCCTGTGACAGTACCCTTAGGTTTCCTTTGTAGAATCACTCTTCCCTACTCCTAATCCACGTGGACTAAGGTGGATGGATGGAGTAGGCCCCATTCGTGGGCTCCCAGGAAATTCCATCTTCCTGGACATAGTGATTGGCTCTGATTGGGTCACCTAGCCATGAACCAGAGAGAATCAATGGAACTCCTCCTGGAAATGCTAGGAGAATGACAGATACTCTTTCCATCTAGACTTCAACCTGAAAGCGTGTGAAGCTGAGTTTCTAGAGCCTTTGTCTCCATGAGAAAGAGCCTGAGAATAAATTTATTGTAAAGGAAATGGAGCCTGACAATATCATTGGAGCACCTGGATCCAGCCAAGCCTGAAGCCACTGTGAGTCCAAAATTTCCTTTTTTGTTTAAATCATTCTGGGTAGATTCTTAACTGGCACAGTTGGGCAGACCACCCTGAGGGCTGTGTTCATTATTGGGCTTCAACAGTCCAGAAGACAGTTGATCACAATAGTCCTAAGACTCAAAACCCCATCATGTGAGCAACAGCTGAGAGGGGTGGGCAGGCTCAATCTGGAAGAAAACAGTTACCTTCGGATATGTGGGCAGTGGTTGCTCCTGTAGCCGTGCAACAAATCACCCAAAACTGCAGTTTAAACAACAACCAGTTTATTGTCGCTCCTGGTTTTGTGGGTCAGGAATTTGAGAAGCACTCATTTGGGTGATTCTTTTGTTTCATGTGTCACTGTCTGAGGTCACTTGGTGGCATTCAGTTGGTGGATGGGCTGGTCTGGAGGATCTAAGACAGTTTCACTCACGTGTCTGGCACCCTAGCAGGCGTGGCTGGATGGCTGAGCTCAGCTGGAACTAAAGACCAGAGCTCCCTCCTGTGGCCTCTTCGGCATGGTGGCCTCAGGGTAATTACATTTGGCGCAGGGCGCCAAGGGTGAGAGTCCCAAGAGACAGGAGTGGTAGCTGTGTCTCTTAAGCCCTGGGCCCTGAAACTAGCACAGGTCACTTTCACCACTTTTGATTGGTCAAGAAGCCACAGAGCCTGCCCAGATTCGAGGGGAAAGGATGAAGACCCCAGGTCTTGATGGAAGGAGTCAACATGTTTGCAATTATCTCTCATCTGCCGTAGTAGTCATGGGGCGTAATATTGAGCACGTACTAGGCATCAGGACGTTCTGAGTGTATTTCACTTAGACCTCGGCACAGTCCTACAAGGCAGATGCTGTTAGTATCTCAGTTTTACAGATGAGGCACTGAAGAGCTACATGGCCTGTTCAGGGTCACACAGCTGTAAGTGGCAGTGTGGGGATTTGAACCCAGGACTTTCTGATGCCACAACTACATGTTTATGCCATGCTGAAAAGAAGAGAATAGACTTGTGCTCTGTGGTCCCAAGGGCAGTACCAGGAATAAAGATTCTGCTCTGGGTGGGAAGGGCCTTTCTTGCAATTAGAGCTGGTGACGACTGGAAGGGACTGCCTTGGGAGATAGTTTCCTGTCACCAAGGCAATAGGAACAGAGGCTGGTGGATTCTGGCATTAGATGGTGGGATAGAAAGAATAGATATATTTATTGTGAGAAGATCATCAACATTGTGGAGGTGATGAACTAGCCTACCTCTGCAAGATCTCCTTCCAAATCACGACGCCCTGAGCACCTCTGTCACCACCATCATGCACACGTTCATCAAAGACACCCTTGCCCACACACACACACACACACACACACACACACATATATAAATTTCCCTTTTAATGTGATTAGCATTATACTATACATATACCTTGGTTTTTTTTCCCCACTGAATGGTAAGATGCGGTGGTCTTTCCATTGCAGGTGTGTTTTTATCAGATGTTCATTATGACCATTTTTATACTTCACTCCTGAAGGATATTTAGCTTGTTTTGAGGCTTCTGCTGATACCAACGATGGGACAGTGAACTTCCTGGGTTGAAGGTATGTATGTTTTAAATTTGAGTAACTACTGCTAAAATACCCTCCAAGTTTCTCTTCAAGACCCTGCTTTCAATTCTTTTGGGTATATACCCAGGAGTGGAATTGCTGGATCATAAGGTAATTCTACTTTTAATTTTTGGAGGAATCACCATTTTACATTTCCTCCAATAGTGCACAAAGGTTCCAATTTCTCCACATCCTTGCCAACACTTATTTGTTTTTTTGTTATTTTTGTCTTCCTGATACTGGTCATCTACTACGGTCTGAATATTTGTGTCCTTTGGGGCCTTTGAGAGGTGCTTAGGTCATGAGGGTAGAGCTCTCATGAATGGGATTAGTGCTTTTATAAAAGAAACCCCACAGAGCCCCTAGTCCTTTCCACCATGTGAGGATGCAATGAGAAGTCTCTGACCCAGAAAAGGGGCTTCACCCAACCATGCTGGCACCCTAAACTCAGACGTCTAGTCTCTCAAACTGTGAGAAATAAATTTCTGTTGTTTATAAGCTGCCCAATCTCTGGTATTTTGTTACAGCAGCCCAAAGGGACAGACACTATCCTAATGGGTGTGAGGTAATTTAGCTTTGTTTTGATGCTTTTTGTAACACAAGGCAAGCCAGAAACAAACAGAGAAGACAAGCATGGTTAGGTTTAAGAGCCTAGACTTTAGTCAGACAGCCTGGGTTCAAATCCTGGCTCTACCACATTCTAGCTTTGTTGCCTGTTAAGCACAAGACAGCAGGCTCAAAATGGAGTTGCTTATGCTAAGCCCCATGTCACCAGGAACTTCGGCCCGCCCAGAAATCTTTAACCAATCAGGAATCACCTGATCAGCACTAGTTAGGTAATCTGCCTGAGAGGCCCCTGCCATCCCTTGAAGGAAAGTAACTGCAATAACCAACCTGCTTTTTTGCCTGTTATGACTTCCTTGTTCCCTACTAGCTATAAAAGTCTTTCATTCTGTGCAGCTCCTCTGAGTTCCTTTCTATCTGCTACATTGGATGCTGCCCGATTTGAATAGATATTTGCTCAAATCAACTCTTAAAACATTTTAATATGCCTCAGTTTCTCTTTCAGTAGACTGCATGCAGATTACCCTGAGCCCTATTGCCCCATCTGTAAAATGGGTTTACTAATCATACCATTCTTCTAGAGTTGTAAGGATCACGTAAGATAATGTACTTAAGAGAACTTTGTACAAGATAATCTCGCATTTATCAATCTTTTTGGTGTCTTAGTTAAAAGAGGTATCTCTACCCCAAAGTAATAAGCATTCTCCTATTTTCCTCTTCCAAATTCTCTTACAGCTTTGATTTTGCTCCTGGGTGTTTAAGTCAATTGGAAATTATTTTTTATCTGATATGCAAAGGGGTAGCCCATTGTTTCAGCACTTTTCACTAACTAGTGTATCCTTTTGCTGATGATTTCATGTCTCTTACTTGCAGCTGCACTGGGGTCTATTTTTGAACTATCCTCTCTGTCCCACTGATCTATTCCTGAGCCGACACCACTTCCTAGAGCTTTAGAACAAGAACTGGTATGCGGTTAGAACAAGCCTTTTTTGTTGTTCCTTTCCAACACTGGCTTGGCTTTTCTGGCACTGTTTTTTGAAACTCAGCCTGTTGGGTTAAACAACAAAATCCTGGTGGGCTTTTGAATGGACTGTCCTGATAAAGCAACTTGGAGGAAAACTGACATGTTTGCAGCACTGTGTTCTCTTAACTGGGAAACTTTTCTCTGCCAGAATTCTATTTTTCTTTTCCATTCAACCCAGGTAGAATCTGCGTGTTCCCTTTTATCAAGGACTGTACCACAACTACTGTGGATTGAAGCACTCATTACCCTACTTCCTCTTGAAGAGGGAAGGAGCTGGACACAAACTACCAAATGAGAAGGTTTGAAAAGGAGCTGAACGATCTGTTCGCGGAGACAGGCTGCTCAGGGCGGTGACCTTGGAAACGCAGCTGAACGGTTTCCCAAGACAGGCCCCAGGCCTCCTGGCCTCTCCTCTAATGACCCTGAAAACAGGCAGCTTTGCAGGAGCAGCTAGAAAATTCCAGAAACTGCAGGCCTTTGGGGCTGGGGGCTGGTTTTAACTTCCCCCAACCCCATTGTACAGATGCAGAGAGTGAGGCTGAGAGGCAGGAGAAAGAGACAGACCCATATGGGTCTGGTCTCCCCTCTTTCCCCAGAGTTAAGCTTGACTTGGCAAGAGGGTCAAGTGGCATATGAAGGTGCGGGAGGATGTCCTCAGCCCCCGAAGTTCCATTCGAGTCCCAGAAAGACCAGTGGCCAATCTCAGGATTTTATATTTCAACTGAGCTGTCCCCTCAGATGAGGCTCCTTCTACCCTCCATGTCCTGCCCCTTTAAGAAGAGACCAGTCCTTGCTTTATGTCATTCATAGGATTTATTGTCACTTGCCAGTGGCTAGCAGGGGAAGGGGACACGCCCCCGAGCCTCACCACGGGGACAGGTGGCGCTGGGCCACCCAGCACTATTTACACACGTTTCGCACGGGGCACGTCCTCACTGGCAGCAGCTGCACTTCTCCTCAGCTTCGGCGCCCTCTCCGCCTTTACACACACAATCCTTGGCGCATTTCTCACACTCTGCGGGGCAGCAGGAGCAGCAGCCTGCAGATAAAATGGGGGCACCCAGTCTGATGGCCTCGCCTCCCCCATCTGTCCCCATCAAGAGGGAGGGGGAAAAGGAGGGATGCCAGAGGTCACTGCCCCCTTCCTAGTCTCACACCTGGGTTGACTCAGCATCTCTGTTGTGTCAGCTATGCTCTGGGCTACCCTGGGAGAGGGGTACCTAGTAACTAGCCCACAGCCCCTTCTGTGAGCACAGGACTCCCCGGGATGGGGGTATTAGGCCCACGCTGGGAAGCTGTAAGCCTGGAGGAGAAAACATCCAGGGTAAATGGCCTTGAAGGATAAAGCTGCAGGAGCAGAGATGGTACAGGTGTAGGGAGTCCAGGAGATTCACGGCCAGGGGGTGGGGTGGGGGTGCTCCACACCTAGTCTAACACGCAAAGAAGAAGGGCGCCTTCCCCCCACCTCCTTCTCCCCCTGCGTGTTCAACTGCTTTGGGGAGATTCAGGGGGGTAAAATCGAGGGGATCCACAAAGGCCTGAGAGAGCCCAAGGGACCCCAACTCCAGAGCTAACCCCCAGCCTCACTAATGGCTCCCCAGGCACTGGAGGTTTTGAGGGGAGGAATTGGACCAGGATAGCAGTTCTCAATCCCAACTGCCCATTAGAATCTTCCGGGAATTTACAAAAACATCTTGCCACCGTAGGGCCTAAGGTAACAATCATTGAGGGAGGGGCCCCTGCAACTGAGTCTTAAGGCCTCCCGCGTGGTTCTGTTACTTCAAAGCAATGTAACAGGGGGCCTAGGGTTCGCTCTGTATTGCGTGGACAGGCCTTGTGCTCTGGGGAGCACAGCAGGGAGGGGAAGGGCAGAGGGGTCCCCACACTCACTCTTCTTGCAGGAGGTGCATTTGCATCCCTCACACTTGCAGGAGTCAGCGCAGGTGCAGGAGCCGCCTAGAGAGGGAGGTACCACAGGAAGAGTTAAACTGGTGAAACTTGGGGTGGGGCCAGGCCCCTTGGGGGAAATGACTCCCTTTCCCCAAATGTCCTTGAGCAAAGGCGTAGGGCACGGGGTTCTTTGCAAGTAAAGGGGCGCGCTGTGCCGCAGGATGGGGGCGGGGGCTCACCAGTAGGGCAGGGGCAGGTCTCAGGATCCATGTCGAGAGGAGCTGCCGCCGGAGGAGGTTGAGTTGGCTTCTCGGGCAATTGGACGCACTAGCGGCAGCAGGTGGCTAGGCTTTTATAGCCCCAGGCGGGGGCGCGTAGGCACAGCGCTCCAGGCGCGCGCGCGCGTCCTCTTCGCCTGGGAGCACCAGCTTGGGCGGAAGCGCGCACTGCGGCAGCCGTTCCCCCCTCCCCCGCCGTGTGCACGTTCGGGCGCTGCCCCCCACCCCCACCCCCGCTGCCTCGCGCACAGCCGGGTGCGCGCAGCCACCCACTTCCCACCGTGTGCAGGGGGGGACACTGCCCCGCCCGCCTGCCTGCCAGTGTGTACCGCCGCAAATGCCTACCCGCAGACAGTGCACACTTCCCTCCTCTGAAAGCGGAAGGAGAGAAAAAGGCTTTGTTATTCCCCAGCCCTTCCCTGCCTCTTATCCCTTCCACCCCCCCTTATCCCTTATTCTAGGATTCCTTATCCAAGTGGGCTGCTGAGCCACCATGCTGCTTTAGGACTCCGTTCCCTGTGTGTCTCATGGGGAGAGAACACCGCCGGAAGGGCCCTCGCAAACTGGCTTCGGGAGAGGCCTGCTCTGGGAGGCCTAGAGGGCAGGTCTGGGGTGACTAGTGGGAGTTTGGGGACGGAGGAAGGGTAGCGGTGCCAGGTGGCTGCATCTCAGATTCAAAGGGAAGCGGATCTCCTTTCATCTGTTCCTTCTGTTGGGTTTCTGAGTCCCTTGTACTTGTGGTAGGCTGAAAAACGGCCCCTCAAGAGCTATCCATGTCAAATCCTGGGATCTGCGACTATCACCTTATTTGGAAAAGGGGACTTGGCAGATGTAATTAAATTAAGGATCTTAAGGTGAGATCATCCTGGATTATCCAGATAGGCCCTAAATCCAGCGATGAGCATCCTTAGAAGATCCACAGAGAATAGAAGAGGAGGAGACGACGTGACCACAGAGGCAGAGATTGAAGTGATGTGGCCGGCAGCCGCAGAAGCTGGACACAGAACAGTTCATGTCCTTTGCTAATAAGTCTGTGTCCTCACTCAGCAAATCAAGACACTTAGTCCCTAGGAAACAGAGGAACAAAGGACAGCATTAGACAACTGGTCAAGGGTTAAAGAAGCAGGAGAAAGGATTGCTAATGGCATTTCAGACAGGGCAGTCACATGGCAACCCCCATGGGGAAGCTTCACTTTTCCTGCTTGTAGTGCAAGTACCTTTCTCATGGTTGTATTGGGCTTCACAGGGGCAAGGCTCATCTAGAGACAGTGAAAAAAAAAATTATCCCAGGACTCCTGCAATAAAATATTTGAAAGGTGAAGGTGGGAGAGGTTAGCATCCGGCATTTGGTTGGAACACCTATTGCCTTGCCAAGAATGGAAGTTCCTCCACAAGCCCTCCCAAAGGGATCTTATCACCTCTCACACCCAATTTCCACTTTTTTAAAAGAGATACTGAGATAGGCTGGGACCTGGGACTCTCTACCAGAGTGCTTGCACTTGAACCTGTACAAACGTCTCTTCATTTACAAAGAAACTGTAAGAGGGACTTCCTGGCTGTCCAGTGGTTAAGACCCTGCACTTCCAGTGCAGGCGGCACAGGATCGATCCCTGGTCGGGGAACTAAGATCCCACATGCCGCACTGCGTGGCCAAAAAAAAAAAAAAACTGAGAGACGAAAAATAACCTCGCATGCGCAGTCGGGGCAATTGTGAACAGCAGGATACTTTAAAAGGGCCACAAACCAACCGCCATTTCTGAAGTGCCGAGAGGAAAGCCAGGGTACTGCGCATGGTCTCTGCACACAGCACCACCCTGGGAGTGGGCAGACCACCTAAGCCACCCCTCCGGCCCAACCCACCAAACGGCCCCTACCCTCACCCCATTTAAGGAACCAGCCCACCCTCCTTGGAGAGCGAGCGAGGGCACCTGTTTCTCGTTTTCACTCCCTTGTGCTATAGCACTAGCCCCAGTAAAAGCTTGCCTGAATTTCTCATCTGGCCTCTTGTCAATTTCTCTTGATTAAAGAGTCAATACCTGTGTAGGATTTGCAGCCCTCCCTCTTTGGAGGTGGTCCCAAGGCTGCTCCCCAAGGAAGGCGGGTCTGGTGAGTCCCCAGGCTTTGATTCTGCTGAGTGGGGGAGACTGAAACTCGCTAGGAGAGAGTGGACCTTGCTCCGAATCTCCCACATGAAAAGCTGAGCCTCTTCCAAATCTGAGCTGGACAAAGCAGTTTAAAATGTTGGTTGGAAACTCCCCACCCCCAAAATATTAGCTTCCAAGTGGCCTCCAATAAGGGATTGAGCTAACTTTCTCCAGGCTTTTGCAAGTTTGCTACGTGTTGCCCCACAAGTCTTAAGCTTCAGTAAAGTCGAAGGAAGGGAAAAAAGGAAGAAAGAAGAGTCCAAAGAGGAGACGATATAATCTTATATCCCAAGGTATTTAACGTGAAGCCCGGGTTGGTTCTCAACAGTGGCTTCATGCGGTTTCAGATCGCAGAGCTCACCATCTCTAGCACTGTTTATTTCTTGCTTGTTTTTGTTTTGCCTGAGGGCACTCCAGCCTCAGACTTGCCTGGCCTAGGCCCTAGCCTTGACCCCACTCAAGGCCTCACAATCTCAGGCTTTCAGTACCAGGTGAGATGTGTATCCCAACACACTCAGCTAAAGCTGCCTCCCGGCCATTTCCCTTCGGGGCTCTCAGATTTCCTCGGGATTTACACTCGAGCTGGGAGAACAATCTCCGCCCCCCACCCACCGTGATGGGTAATTTTTTGTGTCAACCTGACCAGGCTCAGGGATGCCCAGATAGCTGATTAAACATTACTTCTGAGCACATTTGTGAGGATATTTCCAAAAGAGATAAGCATTTGAATCAGAAGACTGAGTAAAGAAGATCACCCTTACCATTGTGCGTGGACGTCATCCAATCTACTGAGGGTGCGTGTAGAACAAAAAGGCAGAGGAAGGGTCAATTCGCGCTCTGCCTGAGCTGAGATATCCATCTTCTCCTGCCCTCGGACTCCTGGCTTTCCGGCCTTTGGACTTGGACTGGGATTTCCACCATCGGCTCCTCTGTTCCCAGGCTTCCAGACTCAGGTTGAATTACACCACCGGTTTTCCTGGGCGTCCAGCTTGCATGTGACTAATTGTGGGACTTCTCAGCCTCCATAATGATGTAAGTCGATTCCTAACATCTCTCTCTCTCTCTCTGTGTATATGTATATCTCCCACTGTTCTGTTTCTCTACATCACCCCACACCTAAGGGTGGCCAGGATATTGAGAGATCTGAAAACCGCAACATCCTTCGGAGACACCCTCCCCCCAATTCTTCACATGGCCAGGCCCCTCATCCTTCAGTTCTCAGCTTCTGTGACCTCTGAAAAGCATTTCATGTAGATGTGTCACTCCAGAGGGTTCCCCATCACCCCCATCTTTATTTCCCTCTGACCCCTTGTTAATTCTCACGATGTAAACTGATTTTATGCTCCCTCCGCCAGTGATACTTCTTCCCCAGGTATCCACATGGCTCATTCCCTTCTTTCTTTATCCTACACTGTTGCTCAAATCTTGCTGTCTCCATGAAGCCCACCATGATCACCCTGTTTAAAATTGCAACACATACCTCAAACCCACAGGACTCCTGATCCCCCATACTTTGCTCTATCTTTTCTTTTTTCATAGCATTTAACACCTTCTAATGAAGTAAATTACTTATTTGGAAAGCTTATGTGCCGTCACCCCCTGCTAGAATTTAAGCACC